TCTGAAACTATGGCCTCTTCTATTTGTTCTGGCGGTATTTGCGGTTCCTAAAGAAAATACGATAAAGTCCAACAGCATGTAAGAATAATAATAAAAATAATAACCCTTAAATTATTGCACTTACCCTAAATTGAACAAGGCGTTATTTTTATAAGAAGTTATTATTTGGTTAATTTACACAAACACTTAGAAGTTACAGTCAATAATTTCGGTCAAGTTCTAAATATAACTGAAAATTAACGTATAATACGCATCTGGACTTGTCGCACGTAATAATTTATTTTTGTATGGATCTATTATTATAACTTTTTTACTTATAAAAAATCAGCATTTCTTTTACCGAAAAATTGAAAGATTACGTGCGTTTTGCAATTTTGTAAAATGCTTATGAAATGAATAAATAAACAATTTTATGCTTTATTTTATTTTTTTTCTGTTATAACTAACCAAAATATTCACTGTCTTATTATTTTTAGCTATTTTAATTTAGTAAAGAAACACTAAAGAAGGAAAGAATAGAAGTGCACACGATGCGAATCCCGCTTTCATTAATTTCGGGAGATTATGTTTAATGTTTTTGCTATCAAATCTAAATTAAAACACTTTTATTATATGTATGTATGTATTGTAGGATAACAACTTGCCTCCTCCTTCTCCTCAAAACTCAGGGCGTCCATAGTCAATTTCATTACGATTCCTTGTTTACCACCCCTCCGTCCACGTCCTCTCCCTCTATTACCACCACCTCTCGGTTTTCTTGGCTTGATTCCTAAAGTATTTCGTACAGATTGTCCTCGGCAACTCCTCTTCGGTCTGGAGGACGTCTTTTGTTCGAATATCTGAACTGATTCCTGCTCCTCTTTCGGAGGATCTTTAAATTCTTCCCGAACTTCCAGAGGAACTTTTCTGGGGCGCCCTCTTTTTCTTGGAGTCTGCGTCTGAATAGCTACCAAAATTACATGTGTTAGTACTTTATAAATTTGTCCTTGTTCATATGTGCTTACGCGACAAAGGAGTTGTGGTAGTGGAAATATTACTAACTGATATTCCTGGTTTTAAAAGGTGAGTCGCTTGTTTCATGACAGCCGCTGTTTCGGGAGTTATTTCAAAAACAGGGATGTCTTCTAACGGATCCACCACCACCACTACATCGTCTACTCTTTCTATTTTCTTCTTTATTGCATCCAACGGTATAATTTCAACGGAATCTTTGTAGTCTCGATCCAGTTCGTTTGGTTTTGCTCCAATTTTAGAAACGTTATCTGAACTATCATGAGAATCTTCAGAGTCGATTAGGCTAATTGTAACGTCACCCATTTCAATTTTTTGTTTTTTAGTTTCGTAATTTATATGTTCTGAATAACCTCTTTTAATGCTATCTTTAGCAAGTTTCGTTTTTAATCGAGTTAATTTTTCAATTTTATCAGATGAACTTCTTGATGGAGAAGAGATTGTACCCTTATTAATTTTTAAAACAATTCGCTCTTGTTTAATCTGATCTTCAAAATCTATAAGTTCAACTTCTCCGACGTTTTTTCGATAATTTTTTGACTCAGTAATTTTTGAAGAATTCAGCTGTGACGTTATTGACGATTCGGTGGTAGGTGATTCGTGGGACTCCCCTCTAGACGACAAGTCCAGTTTAATTCGCTTTATATCAGGTATTACTTCTCCGATATTCGATTTATTTACGAAAGAGACTATCTCTGACTGTGCAGCACCGCTTGCGGTGGACGTCACAGATTGAATTTCTGAAGGCTTTATTAAAGGTTTGATTATTATTTTGGGTGTATTTTTTTCTTCAATGTGACTCTCTTGTTTAACCACTGGTTTAATTGTAATTTTTGGGATAACTATATTCTCTTCAATAAGGTTTGATGAACTTGCGCTGTGATACTGAGTCTCTTTAGTGTCAGGTTTATTTATAGGTTTAATTGTTACCGTAGGAATATTACTAGACTCAGATGTATTTCTCTTTTCTTTAAATTCTTCCAAAGAATCAACAACATATTTAATGTGACGAGACGAATCACCAATTTGGTCTACGTTTTCCAATAAAGTTTGAGGTTTAACTACGGGTTTAATAGTTAATTTAGGACCTTTCTTTACTTCAATTTCTTCTGCTGGTAACAAAAAATCACATTTGAATTCTTCGTCATTTTTCGTTAATAATTTGTTAACAAGACGTGGCGAATGTCTTCTTTCTTCTTTATTTGCATCTTCCGAGTATTTGTTAAAAGCTTTCCCAGAATGATCTGGCTTGACAATAGGTTTTATAGTAATTCTGGGCGTGTGAACGTTACTGTTCATAACATTATGACACTCTATATCTTTATCGCATTTAATAGGTTTTATTGTAATACGTGGAGTTGTATACATCTGTTCATCATATCGGTTCATTTCCTGACTACTTTTCAATGATAATTTACGCGATTGCAACTCATCGCTTATTTCATTTTCTGGTTTTGATATCGGTTTTATAGTGATTTTGGGGCATGTTTTGAGTTCTTTAGATGATTCCGAATCGTCAGGTTTTATTACAGGTTTAATTGTTATTCTGGGGCTTTGCCTTCCATGAGTTTCAGTGGTTTTGCTATTTTGTTCTTGCAATTTCGACAATGATTTGAATATTATTTTTGGACTAGAATAAAAATAATATTAATATACCTATAGATATCAAATTCAGCTTGTTACTTTTTTTTTCATGTATATATAAACTTACTTCACCTACCTTTGACTTCTTGAAAGTTCTTCTCGAGTTTCTTCCGGCAATTTAATGGGTTTTATGGTTATCTTTGGACTATGAGAAGCTGCCACTTCTTCGCCAGTTTTAGAGTATTTTGTTAATTTCGAGCTCAATGCAATGTCTTCAATTTTAGATTTCATTGTCAGCGTGATTTTCCTTGGAACGAGTATTTCTCTTTCGCTGAATTTGTTTTTTTTACAAACGTCTAGAGTACTTGTCGTTACGTCGGTGTATACTGACTTTATTCGTAATTTAGGGCTACTTTGTCCTTCGACAGTTTCCACGGTAAAGTGCTTATTTGAGGAATCATCTGTGTCAGATTTTGAAGTTATTTCATACTTTGGACCAAAATCGCCTTCAGTCGACGGAATAGGTTTAATTGTAATTTTCGGAACGATACTTTCTCCACGAGCATATTCATTTTGTTTTAATGTTACTTCCTCATTAATGTTTTGCTCGTGGGTAAGGTGCGCATCTTTAGGATCATAAATTTTAAGTATCGAATGCATGTTATCAAATTTATTTTTTGTAATAGTAATTTTCAATGAGTTTTTAGCCTCACACTCACCATCGACACTGGTTGATATTTGCTCTTCACTTTTTTCAGAGCAATCTGTATGCTCTGTTATATCAACCTGTAAAGGCTGTTTTAATACTTCGTCTGAGTGGGATAGCGTCTGAACTGATTTAGAATAGGAACCTTCTTTATTGTGTGTGTCGGAAAATGCCAAAATTTCGGATGATGAAACTACTTCATTTAATTCTTTGGCTTTTTTAATTCCAATTTCGATAGGTTTTTCAACTTCAAATGCGAAAAATTGTACGGTTTCGATAATATTCGTCTCATTATTTTCAGTAATTATTACTTCTGGACTTGTCGACTTATCAGTAGTGTTGTTAGTATCAGATGAAAGTTGAGAAATATTAGCATTTGACGTCTGTATCTCATTGGAATCCGATATTGCAACTGTTTCAGAAAGTATTGAAGCCACAGCCGATTGAGTAGCATCCTCACTTTCGAATATCTTTTTGATTTCTTTTGAGTAACTGATACTTTTCCTTTCTGACTTTTGAGCCTCATTTATTACTGGTTTTATGATTTTTGTCTGGTCTAAAGGTAAATCAATTACAAGTTTATGTTCAGTAAACAAATCACCTTCATTTGGTTGTATATCAGTTTTCTCAAATCCGGAAGAGTTTAATTCCGTTTTGTTAAGATGAACGTCATTTTCATCTGGTAACCTATTTTCGTTTTGTTCTAATTGTATTGCGGAGACTTCACTGTGATCTTGATTATTTGAAACGTCAACAGGATCATTGTTTTTTTGGTTAACCGAGTGATTAAGCTGTTTTGGAGTAAAAATTTCTGATCTAGATACATTACAATCACTTGAAACTATATCATCTTCCAGCTGAGGAGGAAAGCATTCGTTCTGCGTTTCTAATACAGAAACATTTTTCAATTCAATTTCTTTTTCAATTGCGATTAATTTTTCATCTCTTATGTCCGAACATTCATTAAGGATAGGCTTATTTGAAACAGAGGGAAAACTAGATGTTTCCACAATACAATGTAATGGGCTTTGTCCTACTGCATTAATATTCTCTTGAGTAGCAACATCAGATGTGATAAAAATGTTCTTTGTTATATCAACAGTATTATCTTCCTGGTCTAACTTTTCTCTTTCATCGTCTCTTAGAGCTGATTTCACATTTAGTTGAGATTCTGTTGTTTTCTGAAAAACGTCGTCATCATTTATGAGAGAATAATCATCCTTCTCATATTTATGAGAGTAGTCATTGTTTTTTGGTTGAAGTGGTGCTTCGGTTCCTACTTTTTCTTCACTATTTACCTTACTGCTGAATTGTTGTAGTTGTGTAACTTCACTTTGTTCTGCTAAAATCTCAGTTTCATCTAATGATTCATTTTTATCCTCACCATTCCAATTTTGATCGGTACTAGCACATTGATACGGCTCATTGGCTAACATTTGCGACGACTGCGACTTTAAGCTTTCATTTCTAAACTCTGAAATAACAGTCGAAACGCCGTCAACTTTACAGGAAGCATTTTCTTGTGAAGAATTACTAGTTAGAGGATCAATAATAATATCTTTAATCATATTATCGAAACAAACACTCTTTATTTCGTTTTCGCTTTCCAAATTTTTATCGGCAATTGCTAAATCAGTTTTTCTATCATTAATTTCTTTTTCACTCCGACGCTGAATGTTCACATCGTTCTTATGTTCGCGATTTTGCTCATCGGCCTCGATTATATCCGTGCCAAATACGGTACAACTCCTTAAGGAAGAATGACGAATTTCAATTGCATTTAAATTGTTCGATGATGAAGATCTAGGTATCACTTCCATTACGTTGTTTTCTTGTATTTTACAAGGGTTTATATCATCCATGTCGTTAATGTTAACACTATTTTCACTTTCATTTAATGTCATCTCGGTGGTTTCTTTTATGTGAACAGTTGGTTTCGCTTCTGAACTCATACCTTCATCTGTATGGCTATCATTAACTGCAGTTGTAACATAGCAATCCATATTTTCAGTTTTTGGCGGTTGATCAGTAGTGTTGATTACGATAAAAGACTCTCTAGTATTCCTACTGGACAATGAAGAAAAAAAAAATCTTTCAACGTAACATTACAAGAAAAAAAAGTTGAAATAGTATTGAACTTATTCTGGCGAAACTGCCAGACATGGATCACGATTTCGAGGATCTATCTCGTCAGCACTCGAAGACAATACCGGCAGAACACATGCCAACTGTACCTACTGTCTTTAGACAGTGTTTTATGAACAACTACGAACAGCATAACGAACGCCATCTGTAGAATGCTACATTTTGTTAGATTAATACATGATCGGCAGAGCACGTTGAACTCTAGCTATTGCCTTTTGTTAAATGGTTCGTGGCCATTGATATAACTACTCCTAGGGTGTCAGCTATAATTTTGTCTTCCAAATTTATGCTACTATTAATATTATAAGTAATTAAAATGTTTTTATAGATAAATCAAGCTTTTAAATTTATTTAATCGACCCCTAAATGTCGAAATTTTGCACTCTGCACTAATCACGTTAATATACTGCAATAGTTTTAAGTGAAACGTTTATTACATCGCCTCAAATTTTTTCGTCCATCTATCGCAACCGCATTGCGACCGGCCGCGGAGTAGAGATAAAAGTGAAACGCGCTCAGGGGAGCAGCCAAGGCCCATGGTTCGCATGAGCTAACCGTGTAGCATTTATATTCTCACTTATTGGTGCAAGTGCCGCGGTATTTGATTGTTTTAATCGTGAGTTGGATTTTTGTCTACTATTGATTGCCCATTATCATTCCCATTTTCCAATCATTAAGATAAGATTATGAATGCAATTTTAATTTTTATACCATAAATCGAATAATTTTCTGAAAATTTACAGTTGCCAACAATCCGAAAAGTTTCACTTGCACCGTGATTTCATAAAACCACACAATTTTATTTTACTTGTAGACTTTTTTGAAGAAAACCTTGCTCTAGAACCCTTCATAATATCAAACTTCATTATTAATTATTCAATTTCAATCAAAAATACTTTCTTTAATTACTTAATTTGGCTATGAATTTGTCATGCCAACAAACATAACAGGCACCTTGGCGCTAGTTCGTCAAGTGGCCACTAGGCAGCGCAACCTGCCCAGTGACACACCAATTGACAGCGTTTTATGAATTACTACAAACCGCGTAATGAACGCCATCTGTAAAATACTGAGTATTATTTCAACTTTTTGTTTTGTTTTGTTAAGTGTCTATCACGTAGAGTAGGGTAGATACGCCGTGGGTTCAGTCTCAGAAGGTTCAGCAGTTCAACTTGACAAGTTGTAATATCCTTACGGATTTTGTCGAACACAAAATGTCGCATTCTATTCTGATGCTGTTCATTAATCTGGTTGTAGTTATTCTTACAATATATGGTTAATCAAAGTTACTTCATACAATAGTTAGACATTTATTTAAATTCGAAACAAAAAATAAGGCTGTTACGGATATCTACAAACATTAAAAAAAATTTTTTTTCTATCCCATCCTTAAACCTGATTGAATAGAGAAATAGTGGCTTTAAGGAAGACTTTCTAAATTAAATAATATGTGGTGATAATAATGCAAC